TCAAATAGAAGAGAAGGAGAAGAAGAATAATATGAATCTATGTATGAATTGATAATATAAATTAAGTTCCTTACACAAGATTCACCCACACAAATGTTCATTTCTCTCTCTCTGGCCGTCAACTCTCTAGGGTTTATCAAATCATTCCTCACACCCTAATACTTTTATTTATACTAAGGGAACATGGGCCGGAAACAAATGGGCCGTAAATGAGTTTACGGCCGTAAGGTGTTTACGGCCGTAAACTCAGCCGTAAACATGACCACAAACTCATAATTATTACAGAAAAATACAATTGCCTAGAAAAGTAAAGTATAAACCATATTTTGACCCAACAAGGGTAGAATCAAGTATTCAACTCTCTATAAGATCCAATGTTACGTATGATTAGCATACGCGAGTGCTACATGGTTGGTGGAAGTTTCATGGATTGGTTTACATGTGAGCAGCCAAATAGTTGAGGGAGAGGTTGTCCCAAGAGTATTTGGATCTAAGGTAGGGGACTGAGTCAGTTACTGAGATTACCAATATGTTTACAGAAAGGGCTCTATTTTTTCATGAGTTTGTTTCTTCTGAGTAAGCTCAGATGACCTGATACTTGTGCATAATCAAGATGGACATCCATTAGTTTGTGTCCATTCAAAATTATGCTACACTTGTGGAGCTACATGAGGCCACGAGGAGGCGGGAGATTAAAATGGAGCTCTAGGAGAGTAAGCGGAGGTAGGCTCCGGTGTAGACGTAGCCTGCGATAAAGCGGTTCAAGGCCGCTGATGTGAGATCTGGGGGTCATAGGGGTTGTACTTGTGGTAAGTGAGGAAAGGTTCATGATGGTTCTTGTCAATCTTCTTTTGGGTTCCAAAAATATGGAAAGGAGGGGTACTTTGCCAAGGATTGTCGACAGCAGGTCCATGTACTAAGCACCAAGATATGTTATCACTGTGAGCAGGTTAGCTATATTAAGGCCAACCGTCTCTTTCTCACTGTGGGACCGGTGCAGGCTACAACACCAGCCACATTAAGGATCATAGATGGGCTTTAGGGTAAGGCGGAGCCCCCGAGGGCTCGAGGTCGTGCTATTTAGCTCATAACAGAGGAATCCAGTGCGGTGTCGGACGTCATTACTGGTATGTTTCCATTTATCATTCTTTTAATTATTTTATGGTATGCTAGTGTTTATGCTTCTAATATGTATCTTCTTGGTGAATTCTTTTTCTGATCTTGTGTTATTCGAATCGGTTGTGATTCGGTCCTTTATATCTTGTCCTTTAGTAGAGGTTTCGATATGACCCTTGGAGACCTGGAGTGTCCGTTGCAGGTTTCTATCGCCAACGAACAAGAGATTTTGTTTTCCGAGATTGTATTTTAGAGATTTTTGGGGTGCCTTACTCGATTGATCTAATCTGTATTCCCATAGGAGACATGTGTGTGTGATTGTAGGGATGGAATGGTTGAGTAGATTCGAGGCTATGATCGATTATGGGGTTCAGTATATCTAGCATGGGTGGTTGATTCCCGACTTGGGAAACATGTTTCGATTTCAGAGGTGCTAGTGGTTAGAGACTTTGATGGCATGTTCCGGGAGGAGTTGCCTGGTGTGCCTCCGGAGAGGTAGGTTGAGTTCAGGATTGATTTATTTCCAGGTACGACCCCTATTGCTAAGGCATTGTACCGATTGGCACCGCCTAAAATGCAGGCGTTGTCCTCTCAGCTTCAGGAGCTGTTGGGCAAGCAGTTTATTAGATCGAGCAGTTTATCATGGGGAACACCGATTTTGTTCGTAAAGAAGAAGGATGGTTCACACCAGATGTGAATTGGTTACCGGGAGTTGAACAAGTTGACCGTGAAGAACCGTTATCCCCTTCCGTGGATTGATGACCTCTTCGATCAGTTGCAGGTTACGTCTTGGTTCTCCAAGATCGAGTTAAGGTCAAGATATTATCAGATGAGGGTCTGAGAGGAGGATGTGGAGAAGATTGCATTCCGAACTTGTTATGGTCATTACGAGTTCGTGGTGATGCCATTTGGGCTCACAAATGCACCTGCAAATTTTATTGATTTGATGAATCGTGAATGCAGGTCGATGCTCGATTGATCAGTCATTTTTTTTCATTGATGATTTCTTGGTGTATTCCAATACAAGGAAGCATCATGAGGAGCACCTTCAAGAGCTTATGGGAGTGTTGAGGTGAGAACCTTTGTAAGCCAAGTTCTCGAAGTGCGAGTTTTGGTTATGAGAGGTCCAGTTCTTGGGACATCTCGTTAACCAAAATCCAAGGTTGCAATACCCCCCAATCCTCCAGAAAGTGGCATTTGAGACTCTGAGACAGAAATTATGTGAGGCCCTAGTGTTGACCCTCCCCGAGGGTGTTGAGGATTTTGTGGTGTTTTGTGATACATCCATCATGGGTTTGGACGCAGTGATTATGTAGTGTTGGGGAGTTATTGCTTATGCTTCACGATAGTTGAAGCCGCATAAATTCCGTTATCCAACTTATGATTTGGAGTTGGGAGCATTAGTGTTTGCTCTCAAGATTTTGCGGCACTAGTTATATGGGGTTTAATGTACCATCTACAAGGATCACAAGAGTTTGAGGTATCTTATAGACCAGTCGGACCTGAATATGAGCCAGTGTAGGCTTGACGTGGTCAAGGATTATGACTGTGAGATTCTGTATCACCCAGGGAAAGCGGATGTGGTCGTTGATGCTTTGAGCTGCAAGACGGCTAGTTATGCTATAAGGAAGGTAAAGAGAATGGATCGCAAGACAAGGTCTCCAACTCCTGTTGCTGCAGAGGATTCAGATTCTCATACAATTTGAATAAAGAATAGATTGATAGATTCTAAAATGGAATATGAATGAAAACAATAAAAACAATGATTGAAGTTGTCTCAAATGATTAATAATATGAAGAACTTCTCTGTAAAGAAACCATTAGGAATCACATAACATTTTCCATCGTACTTAGGGGACTTCATACTTTGCTACGAAACATTCTCCATGCATAGGCTTGTGAACCTCTTCATCCTCCGAATCAGTTGACCAAACTTTGACTCTTCCAAAATTGTCATTATCTTCATGCACAATCAAAGCAGGTTAGCATTATCATCATTTTTCTTCTTTCTAAGCTACTCTATCTTTATGAGATTGTAAGTTTCATCATCTTCTTCGTCTTTCTTCTCACTCATTGTTCTTAGGATGCACTCCTTTGCCAAATAATTCTTGCCATGAAAAAAATTACAGTCATAGACGGAGTCTCCTAGTATCTTTTTTCTCTTTCTTCACCTCGTCTATTTGAGATTTCTTAGCGCTCTCGTCCTCTTCCTTTTATGAACTGTAAATTCCTTGCATGTTCTTGTTTTTGAGGCGCCCAAAGTTCTTTTTCACAAAAATTTTGGGGGTTTGAGACCATTAGAGCGTATTATTCTTTCGTAAGTTCGCAAATTTGAGAGATCAAATTCCAGATCTTCTTTTGCTACAGTTTTTCCCTTCACAACCAAGGCCAAAGATCCCATTCCAGAAACAACCTCCCCTTCCTTTGTCACTTCATCTTCGTGGGACCTAAGATTTCCCACTAGCTTTGCCAATGTATAGTTCTTAAATTGTTCATAAGATTTTACAGTTGAAACTACTTGTTTCCATTCGGACCTCAACCCGTTCATAAACGTGACCTTTTGTTCTATTAAATCACATTTTATTTTTGTGTTTCATCATCCTACATAAAATATGGTTTGTAACGATTGAACATTTGATCAAGATTTTCCTCTGGCTTCTGAACAAAGGAACCAAACTCTAAAAGAAGCAGCATCTAAATGTAGTGTTCCAGATCTGCATCACTTAAATGGATCTCTTTTAATATATACTAGATCTCCTTTGTTGTTTCACAGGAACTCACCAGACGAAAAGTGTCTGGGGGTAGAGCAAACCTTATTATCATCATAACTTTGATGCTGCTCAACAGTTTATCCTTCTCATCTTGTGGAATATCTTTAACGTCGATTAGAAGAGTATTGTATTCTGCTTGAGTTTTGATGACTCTCCTAGTTCCCATGTGCATGAATGTTCCTTCTGTTATGGCTTGCCAAATCGTTGTTCCATGGTCTTCAATACCCAAAACATAGTCCTCAAAATGTAAAGCCCAGACCTCATGGTTTTCTGGGAAGATGATAAGGATCCTGGTAGTAGATCCGATGCTGCTAGAAAGATTAAATGATAGAGTATGTGGATCCTCAGGCTGCATGTTATAGATTCAATAAAACCTATAAATAATCAGATGTGTAAAACTAAAATTGAGTTTAGGGCGTAATAAGGACCAAGATCCAACGTCAACAATCAATCAAAACGATGAAGATGGCAAGAACAAATCCAATAAAAGCAGAAAACCATAATAACACTTCGACAGAAGAGTTGCATATGATTTACACAATCTCCTGCTCTGATACCAATTGTTAGAACAATAAAGAATAGATCAATAGATTCTAAACTGGAATATGAATCAAAACAATAAAAGCAATGATCAAAGTTATGTTGAATGATTAATAATTAATGCTTTAGAAGAGATCGATTAAGAACTTCTCTGTAAAGGCACCGATGGGAATCACAATATGATTAACCCTAATACAATACATGCATGCAATATTTAAATCCTAACCATAGCATCATAAAGACGGATGGACAGGAACAAACCGTAAAAAAGGCTAACTACATACATAACAAATTTGACACAATCTAATAAATAACCCAACAAAGCCAACGAATGAAGTCCCTGCAAAGTATACAACAATTATTGAGTACTCTGATTGGGTTGCTTTTGTAACACATACAAACTCTAAGGCATATAAGGTTTAAGTCATTTCTATAGATTTGATTATTTTCAGTCCATATATATTTCATAATATTGTGTTCGCATATAAATATTGTATTATTGATTTTCCATTGTGGTTAGGAGAAGTCAGAAGCAACAAAAAAGTGCATGAGAAGTCTGTTTATAACCATAGGATGGGAAAAGGTGGATACATACATGTGAAAGAGAAGATGGTAACAAAATGTTTTTTTTTTGTTAATAGTAGCATGCTTTCGTTTATATTGGTTTAACTTTATTAATTGTTTGTTTAATGAATATAAGCTCGAAGACAAAGAAATTGACCTCGATGAAGAACCCTCCTGTTGTATGATGTGGTCGAAGGAGGAGGCTAACATAGATGGAAATTTTGAAAATGACGAGCATATAGATAAACTAGTAAGTTTGACTACAAATTTTGTCTTGATTTCAAAGATGTTTAATTTATATGTAATTACTTTAATATTTCCTTACTTTGTGTAGAAAACAATTAATGGCCACATCAAAGACGGGACCTTACAGGTTGACCATGACACTAATTCCATGATAGTTGTGTTTGGAAAGGACAAAAGAGGTTATGAAAGAGGAGTGGGAAGTCGAGTGACATACAACAAATATTTTGATCTTCCTTGAACCAAATCATCAGACGCAAGAGTTGCATTAATTGAATGACAACTTGAACTTAAGAGACAGGAGCGTGAAAACGAGAGACGTGAACATGAAAAGAAAAACAAACTGGAGCGTGAAGCAAAAGACAAAGAGATTAAGGACTTGAATGCCAAGATGACACAAACAAAAGGAATGATTTTTCTTTTGGTGAGTCAATTAGCTACCGAAGGGGTGAACTTAGATTCAAATGCAAATGTAACATCATTGGTAAGTATTAAAAATTTTCAATTACATGCTTTTAATTAATTATTTCTGCCTGTCATAAGAAGTTTAAATATATACGTAACTTGTTTCATGTGTTTTATATTTACATAGGAAATTCAAAAGTTTGTGAGGGGTATCAATATGTCAAAACAACAACAAAACACGTCTCCAATTTCAGAGTCCCAATCGCAACATAATGTGTGTCCAATAGTAATACCAAAAATATATATATCCATCATCATGTTCATATATTATTTACTTTGATTCCTTTCTAATGTATATATGCCAATATTGGTTATTTGAAGTTTGATATGTTGGTCTTTCATTTCTTACAGGTAACACCAACATCTACCATACCAAAAGATGGTGAGAAAACAACTACACCTAAATTACTAGCTAGGTGCAAATTTGTCAGTTCTGATTTGGTGCTAAAACAAGCCATGCTCAAGAAGAAGATTCAAATGAATTTATAATTGTGATTATTAAATGTTATACAGATCCTTTTGATATGTTACTTTAGGATTTTATTTAATTTTTTGGGCTTGTGTTTTTCCTTTTATTTGTTTTATATAAATAAATAAATAAATAAATAAACACACACACACACACATATATATACATACATACATATATATATATATATATATATATATATATATATATATATATATATATATATATAATCATATTTGTCACAAAAATAATGGATTTTTTTTAGAGTGACTACATATACCGAATACCACAATATTGTAGTGTCACCACATATACAAAATGTTACACTTAATTGAATTTACAAACCATATAGTCACTCTTTTTAACACCTAAGGTCACTCATTGCTTAATTATAAGTGACGAAACCCCCCAAAAAACCAATGGTTGTGTCATCAAATATACAAAAGGCTACACAAACATCATATTTATGTTGCAATTAGATGGACTAACGTCACTCAAAATATACATTTTCAAGATTATTAATACATTTGGTCACTCTTTTTAACACCTAAGGCCACTTATTGCTTAACTGCAAGTGACGAAATCCCCCCAGAAATCAATGGCTATGTCACCAAATATACAAAAGGCTACACAAAAATCATATTTGTCACACCCCAAAACCATGAACGGCGGAAACGTTCTGGGGCGGAGGACGTCATGTAAAGTATCACAACACAGTAAATGTAAATAAGCAAACAACATCATCCATTGCATTAAATATATAATTTTAATACAAGCGTGTTCTGTACAGTATACACACCAAAAATAATGTATATCAAAATAATAAGATGAATCTTGGATGCGTTCCATCTTCTCAAAAGCTGGCCTCAGTACCTATCTACTGATGACCTAAGAATACAAGTTATTTTGAAAGAGTTTATCAGCATTAAGCTGGTGAGTTCATAAGTATTTTAGTGTCAATGTTTGTTGTCAAAACATTTGAACCTGTCTCAATGTATAAGTTTGTAAAAATGTAAGTAAGTGTTTGTAAAAGTTTGAATCTCTCAGAAAAACCTATATTTTCTATTAAAGTAACCTTCTATCAAGGCTTAACTATTTTGTATGCTCGTTTGTTGTAAAAGTGTGTAATTTTCCCAAGGGTAACTATCATTTAACAAAATATAGTTTGTACATTAATGTTTAAGTGAGGTTATCACTAAAATATGTAATGGGTAAATCATTGTAGTACTGTAGTTTTGTATTATAGGAACTACTGCTGTACTAACTACCTTAAACCGGATTTATATTAAGGTATAATGTGATAAATTGCACCATGCTATCGACTGGTAACAACGAAATAATGAATGGTCGTAATAACGGAATGACGTTTGGCACCCGCAGACCTGCAGGTCCAGCTGTAGCTAGCAGCAAGGTGTAGGATAGTCAATCCAGTATAGATCTATACGCAAACTCACGCTCTCCCTCCAAGAGAATTCTGGCTACAACTCGGGCCATGACATTTAAGGCATGCTCCGATACAGTGGATCACAATTGTTAACGTGTTCATGTATATGTAATGTTTCTCGATCTAGTATAGTTGTATATGTTCTATTTCTCGTATAGTTGTATATGTTCTGTTTCTAGTATAGTTGTATATGTTCTGTTTCTAGTATAGTTGTATATGTTCTGTTTCTAGTATAGTTGTATATGTTCTGTGTTACCCCGATGGTAACTAACTATTGATGTACTGATAAGTATGAATATGGAAGTACTTTTATGTCTATACATGTATATATGATATATAACTAATATTGAAATGACCCTCGGATGGTCACCCGAAATCCCACCAGACCACATCCAAATCGAGGAAAAGGAAATAGGGCGGATGGCTTTCCTAAGCCCTTTAAACATTACTTATATATCTATACATATATGGGCATGCAATTTATAATAAGTAAAAAAAGTTTAATAAAAGAATTTGATACGTAAAAGAGTTTGTAAAACATTTTGAAGTAAACCAGTTTGATAAACAGTTTGAACAGTGATAAAATCATTGGTTTTCTAGTTATTAATCGCATGTGATTAATGTAATCACATGTGATTGATGTAATAACTATAAATATTTAACTTGTATCCCCCCATGAAGTATTTAAAACATTTAAAAGCATTTCAAAGGTTAATTAAAGGGGTATGAACTCACTTGTGGTGAGTAGATTGGATTGATGTATCGGGTACCGTGCTAAGTGGCAAACGGAGACTTGTTCACACGCACGAGCCTAGTTATCATATAAAGAGCATATATATAACTAATTAGCCAAATAATAACTTAACAAAATAAGTTGGGACACTTAGGAACATGTAAACACTTTGTATAAGTGTTATAGGTCCTAATGGTTGCATCTAAGTTGTTATGGGACAAGCTAAAGGGGTTTAAAGCTTCCAAGAACCTTGTATAAGAGTTTACCACCCAACAAACCCCACCCTTGGAGTTTACGGTCATAAACTCCTTGAGTTTACGGCCGTGAACTCCACACTTGGTGGTTTTGGGTGTTTGAAGGTGCTATCTAAATCCTAGAATAAGCCTAGTACTTGTGGAATAATTCTTGAAGTAGTTTAAGGCCCTAGAATCCTCCTTTGGGGAGTTTACGGCCAAAGGACCATATCCCCTAGAGTTTACGGCCGTAAACTCCTATGGGGTGTTGGTTTTAATTCTGTTAAGTCACTTGCACATGTAGGATAGCTTCTATGTTTTTGATTTAGGCTAAAGGTGACATTAGGCACACATTTGTGCCTTTACTTGGAGTTTACGGCCCAAGAGATGTTCCTTGGCTGTAAACTCCCTTTTAGGGATGATTTTGATGTAATTTACTCCCTATTCAAGTTAAAAGTATCAAAGGGTAATTGTCTTAAACCTTAGGGGTGATTTAGGGCTCACTTTGGCCCTTGAAAATGGTGTTTATGGTCCAAGAAACTCTTGGGCCGTAAACTCCAAAAGATTGGTGTTCTTGAATGATTTCTAGCCTCAAATGTTTATACACAATGTCCTTAACTAGCTACCTAACAAGGAAACGGGACTAGATAGCCTTTAGGCTTCGTTTTGGAGTTTGCACCCCAAGAACGTTCTTGGGCCGTAAGCTCCCAGATCTTGTACTTTGGACATGTAATCTATGTTTTAAAGCATAAAACAAGTAATAAAACACATCTAGGAAAGTAGACTCACAATCTGGGATGAAAACCCGAATATCCGTCAGAGAGAAAATGGCTTTTCTCTAGTTGGAATTGTGAATAATGAATTAATTAAATTCAAAAATCTATTTATAGTCCTGAAATATTTTGACAGAAAATATTTTTATTCCGGAAGTTGGACTATAACATTATGAAACTTGGAATGTTCAAATTTCATAAACCCAGGAGTATCCACTCTCCTGATATCTCCTTAAACGTAAACCCTAATGTACGCAAACTTATACGAAAAAGTCTGAAACTCACTGAAACTGGACTAGCTTCTATTGAATAGATAATGTTCATACAAATGGAAATTTCGGGTTGTCACATCATCCCCCGTTAGAAGGAATTTCTTCCCGAAATTAGAATTTAAGCAAATAAGAAGTTACAAATAACTAAGCGAAAAGATGAGGGTATTTCAGTTTCATCTGGTCCTCGCGTTCCCAAGTGAATTCCGGTCCTCGCTTGGCGTTCCAGCGAACCTTCACGATAGGGATATGGCTTTGTTTCGTCTGCTTGACCTCACGGTCCATGATCTCCACTGGTTCTTCCACGAAGTTGAGGCTCTCGTTGATCTCGATCTCGTCGAGTGGGATTACAAGAGTCTCGTCGGACAGACACTTTTTCAAGTTAGATACGTGGAATGTAGAATGTACGTTACGAAGTGTGTCGGGTAGATCAAGTTTGTAAGCTACGGGGCCGACTCTTGCAAGAATCTTGAAAGGCCCTATGTACCTTGGATTAAGCTTCCCACGCTTACCGAAACGTATCAAGCCCTTCCAGGGTGAGACTTTGAGAAGGACTCGGTCTCCCACCTGAAATTCCAAAGGTTTTCTTCGCTTATCAGCGTAGCTCTTTTGTTGGTCTCTAGAGGCTTTCAATCGTTCACGCATCTGTACGATTTTCTCTGTCGTTTCCCGAATGATCTCCGGACCGGTGAGAGTACTGTCAGAAGCATGTCCTATGCTAATTGGGTATCACCCACCTCAGCCCAACACAGAGGGGATCTGCACTTTCGGCCATAGAGGGCTTCAAATGGTGCTGCCTTTATGCTCGTGTGATAACTGTTGTTGTAGGAAAATTTGACGAGGGGTAAATGGGTATCCCATGCTTTTCCAAAGTCAATTACACAAGCACGCAACATATCTTCTAAAGTCTGGATTGTCCTCTCACTCTGTCCGTCGGTCTGTGGATGGTAGGCTGTGCTCATTTCTAGCCTTGTTCCTAGGGAATGTTGTAGTGATTGCCAGAATCTTGAGGTGAACCTACTATCTCTATCGGAGATAATGGATATAGGCACACCATGTAGCCGTACGAATTCCCTAATGTATGTTCTCGTAAGTTTCTCCATCTTGTCGGTTTCTTTGATAGGCAGGAAGTGTGCAGACTTGGTCAATCTATCGACGATGACCCATATGGTATCAAGTACACCCGTTGTCTTGGGCAACTTGGTTATGAAATCCATAGTGATCTGCTCCCACTTCCATTTTGGAATCTCTGGTTGTTGCAGTATGTAACGCCCGCAGATCCGGGCTAGTCAATTTAGAGGCAATAGGGGTCAAAAATGACTTTTCGACAAAAGATTATTTAGAATGAATAGTCTTAACCAAGTTTAGAATATGTCACAAGGTTTCCGTACATATAAAGAACGCCGAAATCCGAGTTATAACGAAGAAGTTATGGCCCGCCGAAGTTTTACGGCAAAACCGGCACGGCACCGGAAGACGTAAATAGTGAATTTACGATAGAAGACTTTTTAGCCTTAGCAATCTAAACAAAAGTCGTAGAATATGTTAAAATAAGAGCGTCAATAAAA